GCCCCCCCGGGCAGCAGCCGTCGAAGCTGGGGCGCTCCGTCCTTCCCTCCCGCGCAGCCCTCCCGCCCCACCCCCAAGTAGAAACCAGGAACAAAATTAAAAAGGGGTCTTGCCCCCCCCCGCCCCAAACTCCATCGCCCGGGGGCCGCCGAGATGTCCGGTTCCAGGAGGCGGTGGCGGGTGCCATCCGCCGAAGGGACGAGAGTCCTCGCTGCCCCCCGGGCGCGCCAGCCTCCGCCCGGGCGCGCCACGGGTCCAGTCTGCTCGCCGGGGGTCTATGCTACGACAAACTCCGATTTCAGGTCTGCCTTGACCTCCGGTTTCCACACCGAGTCTTCGAAGTCCAGGTCCAGGCTGCCTTCGCTGGACACGCTGCTGTTACTATTGGTCCGGCTGGACTTGCGGGTGGGGAGCCCGGGGTAGGGGGGGCCGGGGGCGCGCCTTCCGACGTAGCCGCTTCTGCTGCATCAGCAGCTGGAGGCGCTCCACCTTGCAGCGGGTGGCGCGGTTCTCGGTCTGCCGCAAGCGGTCCCCTGCAACGGGAAAAAGAGAGCGCCGCGGCCAGGGTCAGGGCATGGGCTTGCTCAAGGGATGGTTTAACAAGACAGGGGGGCAGCGCCGCATGGGAGAGTCTCCGGTCCAAAGACTCTGCAGGCGGAGAGGAGGATGCAGAGCCTGCGCCCCCCCCCAGCTGCAGAAAGTGGCAAACCTGGGCGTGGATCCCAGGGCTCTCAAGCCCCAGGCACAAAAAAAAGAGGCACATATTGCAACCCAAGAGACCCGCTTCTGCAAGGCCAGGGAGAAAACCCAGGCCCCACATGCTCTGCCACTCCGGGCTGGTCCAGTACCCAGAGCTAAACCCGCCGGGAGCAGCAACCTTCCTCTGCTCCCGAACTCAACTGCAAAACCCGTCCTGCAGCCCCTCGACCGCCCAGCACCCTTCTGGGAGCCCCTCGGAGGATGCTCCTGGACCGCTTCAGGCCCAGACGCCGCCCTCCCAAAAAGTCGGGCCGTTCCCGTTCCCGGAGGGCCCGGCTTTTGTTCGCTCACCATGGAAGCAGCAGGGGGGTGGGAAGGGGCAAAGGGCAGGCGACCCCGGAGCGCGGTCCCAGCCGCCGGGACAGCATGCGTGGCCTGGGGCGGGAGGGGAAGCCATTTTGTACTCCAAGCATCCTCCGTCCGTTCGTCCTCAACGGGACGGATCCCGGCGGAACTGTTTGGATTGGGCCCGTCGCCTGAGCAGACCTGGGAGCCAGCTCGGATCCCTTCTCCCCTCCTCAGTCCCCAAAAACCGCTCCGAGTCGCACCCCGCGCGGCCCTGGAGACGCCTCGCCCGAGGCGAGGACGGACAGCAAGGAGGGAGCGGGTCTGCTTCGTGCCTCCAACCGGCCTCCCGGGTGGCTGGAGACGGTCCCGCCCGCACGCCCCGAAGCGGAGGCACCAGCATGGAAAAGCCCGTAGGAGATGAGGCTGGTTTCCGGGCACAAGACAGCAGGAAGCGTCCTCCCCCGCCATTTCCTGGGGAGCCGGGGAGGGGAGCAAGGGCACAGAGGATGGAAGGAGTGGGCCGGGAAGATGCGCCCGTACCTAGGGAGGCCGCGATGGCACGGCTGCCAGCGGCAGCGCTAATAGGGTGCGTCCCTCGAGCGAGCGGAACAGAAGCGCCTGGCTGCTTCCCACCTCCTCCTCTCCAGCGCGAGCGGCGGGGAGAGAGCGCCCCGGCCCCGCTTGCTTTAGCAGCGAGTGGGAGGAGGAACAATTGAACATTTATAGATGTGGGCTTCAGCGCCGGGGAAAGAGGAAAAAAGAATCCCACTCCATCATAAACTTGGCCCTGAACGCTGCCGTCTCCCTGCAGCGCCGCGGGGGGCGGGGGAGCACGTGGCACCGACGTGGGGGCGGCGAGGGCCGGAGACGGGCGCTGCAGCCTGGCGCAAAGGGAATTCCAAGCAGCCGGGGCCCGAGCGAGGCACGAAGCCCGAGCGGCTCAGGGATGCTGACGGCGGGGGTCCGATCCTTCTCCCCCGTGACCATGAGTCAGTCCCCGTGCCCCGTTCCCTCCGCCCGCGAGTGGGAAGGCCCCTTCCTATCCCCCGGGGCGGGCCGGGAGGATGCAAGCTGCACGCACTTGCCAACTGCTTTGGTCCCAAGCCGCATCCTAGAGGCG